TTAATACCTTAGTAATTTAATCTAGACTAGTACGGTTTCTGTTTATTGGGATTTAGTTTTTATTCAACAACACGCGTTTTAAATTTTCCAATGTGCAATGTGCGCTCGGGCGTAAGTTCATATAGTTTTGGGTTGTGCGAAGAACTACGTAGGCGAAAAAGGTCGAAGTAAATTTCGATTATGCATTGTAGCAGATAAATTTCTTACGCTGTTAACATTTTTGCAAGTTAATCATGAAGTTAATCATTAAGTTGTTATAAAAGGGATTCTAAACGAAAGAACTTTGAGAATCTCTGTTTTAAATGGACCAGGCCACTCATTTCGGTATATTTATTGGAATAAGTATCCTTTGACGGGAGACTATGTATAGATTCTTCCGTCACATTGTGTGACGGAAGAATCTTTTTTCCCTACTTTATCGCAGGTTAAAATATTTATTTTCGTTTCTTAGCGACGAAACCGCTATTTTCTTTGCATTCCACCGGAGAAAGTGAACAATATACGCCCGCACTTAGTGTCTCTTCTTGCGCAAATGCTTTTTACGAGGAGTATGTTGCGTCATTTCGGAGCACGGAATGCGAGGAGCAAACAGAGGATCACGCTAAAGGGGTGAAGTGATTCATCAAGCAACATTGCCGTCATTTTATGTCGGCGCGTCACAAACGCCGGCATCGGGCGTGGATACATTTAGTACTAACCTACGTCAAGATTGCGAAATACTGATAATTTTTAATCCGTCGTTGAATGTTAAATTGAATCGTGAATCGAATTTCTACAGATAATTACAAAGTGTTTTAATATTTGGGCACCACGTGGTTATTATTGTAAACTAGTACATATACCTAGCTCGATTTGAATAGCAATAAGTTTTATCAAATGCAACGCTCGTGAATGAATTCAAATTGGAATTAATTTACACAAAAAAAGTTAGGCAATTAGAATTGTGTGATTAAAGTGTAATATTAAGATTCATTGGATGCGTAACAACACCACTAGGAAAAATAATCCTGGCATATGAGACATTAATGCTCTTAAACTTGTAGTTTTTCATAAACATAATTTAAAACATAAATTGTCTAAGGTATAATACTTTTCGTACCTACTTGATTGCTTTAATGTTTCTACACAGAAAAAGCTTTCAAATCTACAACTGCATTGCAACAGTTGTTGGCTGACGATATATTCATATGCCATGCGCAGCTTTGGCAGGCGAACTGACGACAGATATTTGACGCGATTAAATCTATCAAATTCCATAAGCGTAACTAAGCTGGGAGTGGTGGGAATTAATCACGAAATTCCTGATACCTCAGACGCGGGCAAAAGGAAAACTCCCCAGAAGCGATTGCTTCGGAGCAATGAGTCATGGCGCGATACCGCCGTACCGTTTGAATGAACGGACGGATATAGAATGCAATCGGTTTCGAGTGTACGATGCACTGGCGCAGGTGAACAAGGAACTATCAACCCACGCGAGAGGTGGGACGAAAATAGACGCAGACCGGAGGGCCCTCACCTCCAATTCGGCCAATGTAACGTAGGATGTCGATGGCGGTTTTTGCGAAAAGTTTGCATACGAGCGAACGGTTCACCTGTTAAGTCTCCGCATCACATCTAGACAGGTGTTGTAGGGGAGTACACGGGGAGTCATCCATTAAAATAGGAGGCCCATTTACTTCAGTCACTAAACGAAACGCGAAATGATAATTCTTCCATTTCAGTGAGAGTCGGTCCTCTGTGAGGCCGTGTTAATTGCCTTTCGTCCATCGGTCTTAAATTGGTCATGGGTTCAAAAATGATGTTGCCACGAGGTTTTAGTATTCGAAAGCAGAACTTTCCAAAGTATTCTGATTAATGATAAATTATTATGTTTTTGGTTTTTCGAGAGAAAGGCATTTTTGATAAAGAACATTTGTGGAAAGAAATAACTGTGTGGAAGTCAGACTGGAAAGTTGGTAGGATGTGCTAGAATACTGAATTGACCATATACTGACGGTAATAGTAAAAATAACACGAGGTACGAGGAATCGTAAATACAGGAATATGGAAGAGAAACAATATTGTGGTCCGTGGTCGATGATGTAGAAAGTCAAAATCCCCGTAGACTATTTGGCAAAAAGTGGATGTTTTTGAGCAAACTAGTTAATACACTTCCTGATTATAACATAGAAATTCCTATACATTTTCCAGTAATATTTTTTTCAATAGCTAAAAAAAAACATGAAAATATTCATGCAAATGATTACAGACTTAAAGTTATGTTAATTCACAGCTAAACGTAGAATTAGGAAAGAAAATCCAAAGATTGAAAGACGGGAAGCTTAGAGTGGTCTAGAAGGAGTAATAGATCTGATTGTTGTGTTGAGAGAACCAGAATATTTTCTATGAAGTGGCGTTTCTTGACATAAACAACAGTGACGCCAAGATTCTCGGTTCCGCGGTGGGTGCTGATTCACGACAGTCGGTGCCAACTGCCAGTGTTAATAGTTGTAGATATAAAACTATAATTGAAATTAATTTTGCCTGGTTACCGTCAGTGTATATTTTATCATCAAAACATTGCAATATTAACGAATGACAAATTGTACCTAGATGTCGAATATTAGCATCGAGTTTAATGTTAACGATGTCAAATAATGCATTTCTATCTTACAGCTAGATTTCTAAGAAAATATTTTTGTCTGACACTACGATATTGAAAGGGCGCTGATGGTACAAAGGCATTGCTTTGACCTGATTTCAAATCCCGGTGTAGACACAGACATCATCATGACCATAATCTTTCTGCCCTTATCTAGGTGGGGTCGGCACTACATGTAAAACATGTTGTAAGTGATTTGTTCTGCCTGCCCGATGCCACCCTCCGTAGGAACAAAAGCCCAGATCCGGAACAATCTGCAGGTCACAGAAACACTTGTCTCCTGTAGTGGAGCGGCAGTGGTGTTTATCGAGGCCACGACTCCCGACGCCTAATCCAATAGCTTAGCAACTGCGCCACTGAGCGGTGAAGGGGCAGAAGTTAATATTGATTTTAAGTCATCGGCGGTGTTGAAATCATCACGAAGAAACCTCCATTTTAATTTCAACGATAGGATAACCGCCATGGGCACTCAGTACACTACATATGTTGCAACGAGCTGCCAACCAGTGAAATTGTGGAACTTTAGATTTCACTAAATATTTTTATTCTTTGCTTGTCATTAGTGCAGCTGGTGCTGTTTTGTTAAGCTGGTGGTCATGTGATAAGTAATATACAGGGAGTCTTTTCTAAGTATATCCATTTTTTTATTAAATTCTAGACATAAGTACTGTTATATAAAAATAATTCGTAATTAATTAATTACATTCATTTGAACTTATCTCAAAACGTGTGTGATTTAAGGGCAACTTATTAATTTTACGCGCGGTCATTCATAACTAACACGCACACAAGTTTGTTTTAACAAGGTTCACCTTTTTAAAAGCATAAAATTAACAGTCATCAATTAGCGTTGAATGTTATATTTTTGTATACGTTCAGAGCGATTGTTTGTTGTTCAACGTTTTTTGTCGTGCACTTATTATGTTTGGCATTTTTGTTGCATCTCAATTTCCCATCTGATATCTATAACATGACGGATTGTAGTAAGATATTGAAGATCTTTTCTTCTTTCTCCTGCCCTTATCCCTCGTTTGTGAGATGATGAAGATGTAAATAATGTGTTAATGTCATTGTCTAGGTTTTTTAGGACCAACTGTATACCCGAAGTCAACTCTGTCTACTCCACTGAGCCATTTATTGAAGAAATGTAAAATTAAACAAAATTCGACACAAAATTTTGAAGTTTCACTACTCCAAGTACCGTCTTTTTAAGGAGACCCATTAATGTATACAAAGCGAAGTAATAAACACTTGTCATGGTAATGTGCAGAAATGTGTGATGTTTTGCCTCGTAGCCTCCTGTTGAATAGGGTAAATATAAAAATAAGAATGGGCAATGTAACTTTGTCACTCACACGTTGTACCGGACGTCTCATTACGTTTTTTTTTATCTTTATTGAACTATTTTGGAACGGTTGCTAGTGTTGCCAATTTAAAAAAAAAAAAGCTTATCTTCAAAAGCAAGTGGCACTTTCGCGATACGACGAGTCGTTATGATGCCGTTGAGTGCAAAGCTTTAAAATAATCGTTCCTCGTTTATAAAAATAAAAATCATGTAATGCGAATTTTCGTTATTTGTGTTTATTTTTCGTTATTTCAGCCTCAATCATCATTTTATAATATAAAACAGTTTTAATCGGTTACTACTATAACAATTATTTGAATGATATCATTTTCCTCAATAAAAATAATTAAAAAGAAAAAGTGAAAAATTTCTTCGACATTTGCGAAAACTATTGTTTATTAAAATTGCTCTTCTACATTCGCATTTGCGATTGACGTATCAAATTAATCTAGACGTAACAAATTAACCTAGAAAAAAAGTATTCGTACGTAACTAAAAGTATTGGTCGTATCATATTAAATAGGTACGTGTTACTGAAGTTAAACATTAATGAAGAGCGTCGTTTGTTTGCCATTTGCATCCTTCAAACAAGACACGAAATAATAGAGAACACGAAAATACTGCACGGGTTCATCTTTACAAAAAAATGGTTCCATAATACACGCACAATTGACCTTGGACTCGAAAAATAAATCACGGGTAAACCTTTACATTAAAATGGTTCCGTCGAAAAAAAAAAAACACTAAAATAGCTAGACAAAGCAAATTATTTGTTTAGCGCCACGCAGCAGCCTCGGCTGTTGCACGAATGGGCAGGCTAGTCCGTGTAAGTACCACGACCTTAGAGAAGACCGGCGCGAAGTGGAAGTGTAATACTTTCTCGTTTCCTCTAGTAAGTGAGGTAGCCGGAGCTCGATTTTCAAAATGTCAACGCATCTGCAACCCTCGGGAGTAGCATCAGGTGAACCGCCTGCTCGCTTGGCGACTTTTCGCATGAAAAAAAGCGATACTCACAGTTCCAGCACGACGCACATGTACTTTCCCCAATCGTACGCGTCATACAATTGGATCAGCCTCGGGTGACGCAGCCGCCTCATCACCTCCACCTCGCGTTCCACGTTCCGTCTCTCGTCGCGCCTGCTCACGGAGACCAGCTTCGCGGCGAGCTCCAGGCCGCTGCTCTTCTCCCGGCAGAGGTACACCGTGCCGAACTTGCCCCTGGAAATCACCGCGGCTCAGTGCACCTGCATTTCGCTTGACGAAACCGTATGGGAGTTTAGGGTTCCGTAAGCGAAGGGAAAAACGGGACTCTGTTACTAAGATTTCGCTGTCTGTCTGTGTGTCTGTCTGTCCGTCTGTCACCGGGACTACAATCAGATGCGATTATAGTGATGAGGATAAAACTGTAAAACCGACTTTATTGCTATTTTCGATTGTTAACTTTCTACCTTTTAAATGAGCGTACACCATCCAAACTCACAACAATATGTCAAATTCACATGAATACAAATTTTTTGTTATTAATTTTATAAGCTATCTACTGACTTTTCTGTACTCGCTAGCCCTGTAAACTGAAAGATTGTACTCCCAAAGCTTGTGTTAATAAGCTTGCCCATTTTGCTTGCAAGTGCTAAAAATATTGTTTCTAAATTGTGGATAGGCATGTTACCTGTCATGTAAAAAAAGTAACAAGTTGTGCTCTGTACGGACAAGAAAGAGTTAATTGCCGTTTCTTCTCTGGAAGAAGTACAGCCGGGGTAAGGTAGATTCTGACCTGCATAAGTTCTTGAGACAAGATTGGATTGGGTAAAAGATTATGACTTCGACCGACAGTATATGTAACCTGTCAGGGTTATCACTTACCACCAATCAGATCTTTATTTGTACCTAAGGCCGGTTGAAATAAAGCTCAAATAAGAACATTGTCTGAAACATATAGCATGTTACAAAATCCTTATGACTTAAGTCCGCATGACGAAAGAATGCGCTAAGTCAACGACCCGGTTGGCGTAGCGGATAGCGAATCCATCTCTTACGCAAGAGGGTGAGGGTCCGATCCCCACTACTGGAAAAATATTGTGTAATGAACATAATATTTTTCCAGCATCTGGGTGTTCAGTGATATGTTTACAGATTGTTTAAGTATGTTTACCAGTTACCTAGAGTCCGAAGTGCTGGCTTCGCTCAGTTTGGGACTGGATAACGTCGTGTAATGTGTTCAGAAATAATATTCGAACTCACCGTCCAATCTCCGACAGCATTTCGAAGAACTCGTTGACGTCTGTATTCCGTTTGATGGTGACATCTCGACAGGGGAACGGCGGCTCGATCTCTGCGAAAGGGAATTGTCGGTAATGTTTTGAAACGAGCGTCGGCGGTGTATCCGTAAAAGGCGAAGATAATGTTGTTTAAAATCGCATGTAACGAGGGCGATGCAGTATGTATGACTGTGTAAGGGCCACGCAACAGTTTTCTCTGATGCACGAATGAGCAGGTCCGTACGGGTAAGTACCACGACTTTACAGAAGGCCGTCTCGAAGAGGAATTGTTATACTTCCGTTTAGTCTAATAATATTATTTTTTTATTAAAAGGTCGCAACACATCTGCAACACTACGGGTGTTGCAGATGTCAATGGACGGCAGTTATCACTTAACATCGGGTGAACCGCAAGCACGCTTGCCACCTTCTCATACAAAAAATACAAAAAGAAACATGGGTTTTTTGAACATTCAATTCGCAAGATCAGTGTCGGTAGTTTACGGAAAGTTTTCGAGGGGGTTTGTACCCCTGGCTTAGTCACTCACTGTGAAGCCAAGGGGAACCCACACTGGGCCGCTTCAAGTGTGCTTATTGAGCCCATTTTAGATGCGAGCAAGAAGGGTGAGGGGGACAGGTTGAGAGTGGTAGAGGTGCAGCCACTCCCCCTGTCTCTGCAGCTGAGTTGGAGGAGGAAGAGGAGTGTTGGTATTCAGGCCACTCTCCCTATCCATTGCGAATCAGCGGGGATGCATCGTTGGTGCCGGCAGTGTAGGGCCGCGGGTGGATTTCCTTAACTCTGCAGCCAAGACGCGATGAGCGGCGGAGCCATAAAAAAGACCGCTCGCCGCCGTGGGTTGGGAGGATTTATGCTTATTAGCATTGACTCTCCTGGTTTCTTTGGCCTTTAATAAGCAACCTCGAGGGAGTTCGTTGTCCATACAAGGCAGGCCGAAAGGGATGGCGTGCTGTGTGTTCCAGCGTCTTGTACCTAGTAGAGGGAAGTTGATCATAGAGGAGGGGCTGCTGGGACAGTTCGTGTTGGCAGGATCGCGGAAGTGTGAGGAAGCGTTCCCGTACGGAAAGTTTTTCACTGTATAAGACCGTGGGTTCGAGACACAGCAGCGTGCAATTCTGCCACAATAAAATCTAATATAGAACTCTACCTCAAAATGCTTTAGTATAGTCCTATATTAGAGTTAACATGTAACGTTTTGACTATATTTAGGGTTGTGATTTATGGGTTTTATACCTGAAATAATTATAGATCTCTCCTTCTTACCTCCTAACTTCTGTTTTAAGTTGTTAGTTACTAAACTCTTAAAAATGTTTCCAACAACTGTAATGTGATGTTTTTTAAACTACATAATTATAAATTTTCTGATTTCCGTTTCTATTCTGTTTGGTCTTTAATTTGTTTAATATTGTGATGTGGCTTTTGTTGTTTGCTAAAGGATATCATTGCTGCATTTGTATAGCATGCTACATATATATAAATCCTCTATATAGCGTATGGGCAGGCCATGTTCGTTTTCGAAATTCCTTATTTCTAAGCCCGGTTCACTTTTAGAATTTCAAAATTCTAATATAGTCATGTTAGTTCGTAGTTTCACTACTTCTATGTGGTGCTAGTAATACGACGTTGACCGTTCTAGTGATTGATTATTTTGTCACTTGTGAGTAAAAATAAACTTATGTTGTTTGTAAAAGTACAAGACTTTGGAAAACTATGTGAATATTCCTTTCAAATGAACGATATGTACAAAAGAAGTTTAAAGTTTCATATAAATACGTCTATAAAAGTCCACAGTCTATGCCTTACCATATACATGGAGGGTAGAGCTAAGGAAAACAATCTCTATGCATAAATAGTGTTCGATTAAAGGTGTTAAATTGGTGGCGCTGCGGTAGCAGATAGGTAGGCAGTAGTGGTGAATTAATATAATAGGTTTTTTTATGTGAGAAAGTGGCAAAACAATTTAGCGGTTTACCTGATGTTAAGTGTTAACCCCCGCCCATGGAAATTTGCAACACTCATAGGGTTGCAAATGTGTTGCCACCTTTAAATAAAGTGGGCCCCGGCTACGTAACTCACCAGACGAAACGCAGAAGTGTAACACTTCTACTTTACGCCGGTCCTCTGTGAGGTCGTGGTACTTACCCGGACGGACCTGCCCATTCGTGCAACAGTCGAGGTTGCTGCGTGGCCCTACCACAGTTGAAGTTACCATAGTTACCAGTTACTAAAGTTCAACTAGACAAGGTAACTAATTACATACTCTCTAGCTATTCTAGCGCCGTTATAGAGGGATCTGGAAATGTTATTTACAGCTGGGCATTTTTATAGCTATTCCTCTAAATGGAACAGTTCTCCTTACGTTGGCCCCCCAAAAGGTAGGTAAAGTTGATATAACTGATAGTCTGATCAACTCTGCTACCGCATCAACCTATTACTGTATCTTGACGAAGGTAACTTATTTCTGGACCATACATGAATTACATTAGCAAAAACATAATTACAATATAGACTTTATTCTTGTCTTTTTAATGTAATAAATACCTTTCGACTAAGTCGTATGCATTTTTATCTTATCAATTAGTATTAATTGCTCACAATAAATATCTTACTGATAACAAGTGTGTCACCAATAAATAACGATCACTACAGCTGTTTAATATAAAAAAGATTAGGATTAAGACTCGGTAAAAGAATACTTTATACTACTTTAGCTGTAACAAATACATACATTTGGTACAAAACTAATTAGACTACCTACACATAATTACATTTGTTACAGATACGTGCGTTCTACTGATAATTATCGGTAAAAAGCATTTATAAATGTTATATTTATATTCAAGAGATGTGTATAATCAATTCATTCGACAAAGATCCAAATGTTTTGAAGACATCGCCTATTTCAATTTCCATTATTACCATCCAAGGACTTTTCTTCTATCGTTTGTATAGTTTTCCTTAATGGGGTCATATATAATTTATATGTAATTAAAACTTTAATGTATATTATTAAGGGAATAGAAGTTGTTTTATGTTATTTGTGTTGGGTTCATTATTTTATTAGTTGACAATTACGACCATTCATTCTAAGATACTTTGACGGGTTCCAAAGACTCGATGACTATTGCTAGGAAATTATGGGAGTCGTCGTATATCATATAAGTGATAATTCTATCACATATATTAAGTAAAATTTAAATCAATTTACACGTTTTTTTATTGATTGCGAATGGAAAAAAAATATTATTATAAAATACTCATATGAATTATTTCCATGTATTCCCTCCAAATGTTTCGAGAATTATTTTTTTTAATCAAATCATTAACGTGGTAATTAAACAGCTTGCCCCACAATGTCAAACTTATCGCTAGTTACTTTCCAATTGCAAAAAAAAAAAATAAGTGTATAAACACGTTTTAGAAAGTGTCAAATCTGCAAATCCGCGGTCGCGAGTTTGGAAAGCGTTTGACATATTGCGACGGTCGCAATTGGGTTCTTGGGCCCAGTTTGGTTTTGTAGGTACGAAGATGTAAGCATTGGTTCATTCTTTTAGATCGGAACTGTCTACGGTGTGGAGGACAATTTTATATGAGAGGTGTTCAGCTATAAGTATTCTTGTTTAATTTAAGAGCTAGGCTCTTATTGCAGCATCCCAGTAGTTCAGCTGTATAACACCCTCCATCTTCCCTGTTCATGGCTCTATCCTTTACATTTATTTTCTTCTTTATTTGACATGTATAGCCTATCCCCGGTCTCCCTCTATCTCGATTTCCTTTTATATTTCCTTCCATGATGTTCCTATAAGTTGTAAATATTCCAAAACTCACCAGAATGGCGCTAGCTTAGCAAAGGTCTATGATTAGCTTCCTAGGCAAGTTGAATTTTAGTAGTCAGTAGCTATAGTAACTAGTCATTCACCGCCACTGCCTAGTACCCAATTGAAAGTCGCGCGACACCAATTGAACGATATTGCTCTCCTTAAATGTATTCTCCTTGGTCTACGGGTAAACCTATGTCTAAAGTTTCAGTAACGAAAACTAAACGGCTTACGTTACTTAACCTATTAGATCCCTTACCAGTTAAAAATGTCTGTTTTTTTAACTGGTAAGGTATTTAACAGGTCTTTGATTTAACACATTTTAGGAAACGGTTCTTTTGAGGGATCGGATACATTGGCCACCTAACTGCCAATGAATTATGTATTGTGGTTTCGGTACTCAAATCAGGAAAAAAAATTGGGTGATACTTAGTTACTTGTTACGAGTTTGGGTATACTTGAGTTTCCGATTTAAACTCTCACAACAAAGGAATTATTTTTATTGGAGAAATAGTTTTCTTTTTAAAAGTAAAGTAACTTAAACAAACATATTAGTTGATGTATATTTTGCTTTGTTGAAACGGTGTCGTGTTTACAATTTGATTTTGGAAGTGTCTAGTCCGTCATAGGTTTTTTAATGTGAAAAGTTGTTGTCAACCTTTTAGAAAGTTGGGCCTCGGCTTCCTCACTCACCAGACGCAACGCGAAAGTATCATACCTTCAATTTACACCGGTCTGCTGTGAGGTCGTAGTTACCCGGACGAGACTGCCCATTCGTTCGACAGCCGAGGCTGCTGCATGGCCCTACCACAGATCGTGGCCCTACCACAGTTACCACAAGTTATTAGGTATTTAAATCCCTAACGCATTTAACAACGTTTAATTTAAGATGTACATAGCTATATCTATGTAGCTTACTGAAATAGTTCTCATAGTGGCTGTCTAACATAAAATGCTATTCTGCCACAAGTTATTACTCATTAGAATATGTTACTTATTGCAAATTTTATTAATTAGACAATAAGATTTCAAGTTGTTCGAAAACGATGGGTCAACCTTAAAGGGAAAAAACAGTAATAGGACTTAAATATCTAAATTCGTGCTGTTTGATGAACAAAAAGCAATACTTTTCAGTTAGCCGGGCGCCTACGTTAAATTTCACTCTTTCATGCTCTCTCGCCAGAACTCTCGTTTCTTGCTCCGCATTTTTATATTCACTTTAGGGGTAGAGACCACA